TAAAGGTCACTGATAAGAGCACTCCTGTGTTCCATTCTCAGTATCACACACACAAAAAAACAAAAAGCAATACACAGCACAGTTGTGTACAGATTCTGGCTAGCGGCAGACACTCTGGGGTACACAGCCAAAATGTGAAGGTCCCGAGGCAGAACCCAGCCTGCTCGTCACTGCAGGAGTGAGCCTCTGTGCTCAGTGCCTAACCAGGCACGTCAGGGTAGGGACTGGCTTGAGGCAGGCCCAGTGACACTGGGCCTGGACGCTGACTTTCCTGCGAGGAGCTGCACCAATTCCCCAGGACGTGACTCTGCAGGAGCCCTCTAACCCTCTACCCAGGCTTGCCATCATCCCTTTTGTGTGCGGAGCTTTGTGCGAAGTCCTGCATGTAGGAGGAAACGTCAAGACCCTGTCTTGACCTAGACTTAAGATCCTATAATCTATTCAGAATCTTTTTTTTTTTTTTTTTTTTTGCAGTACTGGGGATTGAACTCAGGACCTTGTGCTTGCCAGGCAGGTGCTTATGCCACTGAGCTATATCCCCAGCCCAAAACCTGTTTGGTTTTGAAGGTGTTGATTAGGAGTCAAGTGCCAGCTCTGCCTTCAGCACTCAACAATGGAGAGAGAACCAGTTTTCCTAATCATGACTGAAGTATTACAAGTTGTGGCCACACGAATCAGAAAGTATACACATCTGTTTAATTTTTGGTGGTGCTGGGGATTGAACACAGGGCTTTGTGAATGCTAGGCTAGCACTTCTCCCCTTAGCTTACCTGACTCCCCTGAATGTGACTGTTTTAACTGCATTCTAACTCCCTGAAGACTGGTAAATTGTGTGGAGTTTGTAAGAATGCAGCTAACCAGAGAAGCACCTGATATTCACTTAGTTCTTTAAGGCACGTTCTTCCCACTACAGATGAAAACACTAAGGCTCAGAGGGTCTCTGTCACCACTAACCCAAGGCCAAGGGAGGGTAAGTGCTGACGAATGCCTTCACCACACGGTGAGCAGTTTTCCTCGTGTCCCACTGCTGAGATCGCCTCTCGGGTCCCTAGGTCTTCAGACACAGTTTCTGGGCTTCTGACTCCCATTTTTTGGTTTTCACTGCTTTAGTGGCTAAAACTTCTCTTCTTTCCCAATTTTTTCTTGATCTTACTTTTGGCAATTAGGTCAAAAGCTAAGAATCATCTGAGTCCCTACCCTCTGGCTTAATCTGGCAGTAAGTTTGTTTTTCCTGTCACCCCAGTCTGGCTACCACCCTCACCAGGTCCGCCCGGGACAAGGAGGTCCCACTGGCAAGACAGCGAGGGGCGGCAAGGAGACCCACTGGGCTCGGGGAGGCGGGGACGTGCTGGTGGCTGTGGGGGACGGACCAGGGCCTAGTGACATGCAGTGGGGATGGGCTCCTGGAGGGCCAGGCTGTCAGCGCGGGCCCGACCTGTGGCCCCAGAGGGGAGGACAGCACCACCGTTTGCCCTGGTCGAGCCCGTGACTCACCCACAGAACACAGCCGTCTCAGGGCTGCTCCCTGGTCGCAGGCAGGAGAGGCACTGACAGTCCGCCAACCGATGAGCATGAGCGAGCCCTGACTTCCTTTTCGGAATCTGGATTTCTGCTCTCCCTGGGAAGCCTGCAGAGGTGTTGTCATAATCCTGGGGATAGAGCTAGAAAAGGTGAAGGGGCCCGCTGCCTCCACTGGTGAAAGTTCATGTGAAAGGCTGGCTAGATACTAACTGCATGTACTGCCTACACCCAGCAGATCCAGTAGGCAGCGCAACACTCTCATTAGAAGGTAGCGGGTCACTTGCTTCAGGCAAGTCTTAGGCAAGGCGGAGGAACTGGCACTTGAAACCCTAGGGCTGAATGCTTGGCCAGTGGCCTCCTTCCATCTTTGTCCTGCAGACACCCACTTCCTTTCATTCCTCGCAGGAGAGGGCCGGCTGCTCACTGCTTGGCGGACTTCCCCCGTGTGTCTCTCAAGGCCTGTTTCCCCTCCCTAACAGGCTCCCCTTCCTGTCGTCTTGGGAGTCGCAATCAGGGCCGGAGAGGTCAGAGCTCATCTGCTGTGGACCCTCAGTGCCTCTGTTGCCTGCGAACCAAAGGCAAGTTTTACAGGTTTTACTCAATAGGAAAAAGACTGCTTGAAACTTAAGAAGTTGCCCAGGCAGAATCCAATCGAGCGGAACCACAGTATGAATTCTTAATAACTTCAGACATCCGTGATTCTACAGCACACTGATGTGACTGTAAGCGCCTCATGAAGTTAGAATCGTGACAACCTCCCTCAAGGACATTAGATAAAATACTTGCTAACTACTGGCTCTGAATTTTGAGTCTTCCGAATCTGCTGCAATTAGAGACCAGTGTGCCGGCTGCTGCCTTCTGTGGTTTGCACACACCAAGTAAATGCCTGCCGGTGCCCGCCGGGGTTTCTCCTGCGCCCACCTGCTCTGCAGCCTTCTCTTAGCCGCAGCGCCCAGTCACGCAGTAGGAGACTCTCAGACCACACTGTGCTATTTCCTGCAAGGTATGCAGTCATCCACAGAGCTGCGGCGTCCACTCAAGCTCCGTGTGCTGTTACTGTGTGACGCTATGTGGAGGGAACAGCTACCTCACCCTGCCCACACGTCAAGCTGGCTGAAGCAATCCCTGCACAGACCACAGAGGTAGATCAGAGCTCCAGGAAGAAGGCTGCAGAGGCAAAACCTTGCAGCGGAAGCAAGAGGACTGGAGTGGGAAACATACTGCTTAGGAAAAGGCTCTGCACATGCGAGAAGTTTGCTTTGAATTTAGAGACTTGCAAGATAGAAAACAGTCTATCGATTGCACAGGAATACAAGTAATTTCAGGATTAAAGGAACCTCAGCTGGCTCAATCCTTCCAGAGGAGGAAGGAGGCTTGGATTTTAGTTCTAGGATTGCTGGACTTCAGTACATGGGTTTCTACAGGAAGCAGAGCTGCATGGTTGGCATTCCCATGAGTATCTTCACATCCGTATGAAACTGGCCTACTCTCAAGACACGCACATAAATGTGCAGTTTTACAAACAGAAGTGCTGGGACTGGGGATTTAGCTCAGCGGCACAGCGCCTGCCTGGCAAGCGCAAGGTCGTGAGTTTGATTCCTAGTACCAGAAACACAAACAAACAAAAAAACCAAACAGAAGTGCTGCTTGGGTATGGGGGATGCTCAGCACTCTGAGGTGAAGCTGAAGCGCTCCAAGTGTGAGCCCAGCCCCGGCACCTGGGTGCAGAGACCAGGTCTCAGAGCAAACCAGATGCTTGTACAGTGCAGTGCAGAGGCCCTGGGCTTGGGTTCAACCCCCAGGGGCCCCCGGCCACGTGCCTCCACAGGATGCACAGTTTCCTTAGCAGTGACGTGAGGGCTGCTATGCACACAGCAGGTTCTAGGACCTTATCGAGAAGACAGCACTCCTGCCCCTGCCCCTTAAACAGATCCAGTCCTTTTGTTTTTCTTGGGGATAAAATAACTTACCTGGTTAAACGAGGCCCGTGCTGGCTTGGTGCATTTCAGTTAGCAGCCCACCCCCAGGTCCCTGCAGCCTCAGCTGTCCCCACAGGGAGCTGTGTCGCTGTCTGTCAGGGAAGGCATACACTGGAATAACAGGAACAGGACACGCCAGGCTTTGGATGAACTGCTGCTGTATCTTCATCACCTCAAATGAGCAAGGAGAGAGTTACTATTATGAGTGAGTTCCAGCACGCAGTTTCTTGTGGGGGAAGAAGAGAACCTGTGGTAAGAAAGCGAAGGGGCCCAGGCTGACACCCTGTTAACATGCTGGGCCTAATGCTGACTTCTTAGAAAACCCCAAGCCCCACAAGAACTGAGAATCCAAAGGTGAGGACCTATCAGGAGGGGAAGGCACAAAGGGGTGTCCGTAGAAGCCTAAAGCATGCGCATTAACTCCAGCTCCACATCCACCCCAATCAAAAGACAAGACTTCTACAACTGAAGGAAATGCTGCCATCATGCTTAATTTTAAAACAAGTATTTGCAGTTCTCTGCTAAAGTTCTAAAGAAAACACTTTCAGGGCTCTGAAGACTACCAGGGAGAATCCCAGTCACAATTGCACAGCTCAACGTTTCATCCCATGATCTGTGCACAAGTGGGATTAACCAAAAAATATGCTGTGTCTGGAATTGTTTTAAAAAATTTTTCTAAAGATAGAAAAATTATAAAGATCAACTACCAGGGTAATAATATTTCTACCCATTGCAGGCAACTGGCCCAAATCTGAGTCATCCGCAGGCCCCCACGCCCCGAGCTGTTGCATCTGCCACTTGCACCTGCGGGCTGAGAGAGCAGCGCTGTTCACAAGGCCACGGGCATGCGCAGTCTCCACCAGATCCACGCACAGGCGAGCACTGCGGCCAGCTGAAGCTTCAATACGTCGCTATCTCCATGACTGAACCAGAGCCACAGGGGACCACACCTGGAGACAGACAGGTCTTCTATCAGCCACTTAAGAACAAGCAAACAGCAGGAGGGGACTGGGAGCTCTGCTTCATACCGAACACCAAAAATGAAGACAAAGGCTAGAAGGACTCATTTATTACAACCCTAAATCCTCCAGCAAGGTGTAAAGATGTGAGGAACCCAATACCCTGAGGCAGGTCCTCCCCAGCTGACAGCAGTGCCGCTGGCTGGGCAAGGCAGAGGCAGGGGACACCGGGCCATCCAGTTTCAAGACAATCCCAGACTTTTCTCTGGCTCTGAACACAGGTAGCTTTTCACCACGCTGAGCGCTGTGAACATAAAGGTGAAAAGACTCTGCACTGGTTCTGACACGGATGTGGGCTCTTCAGCAATGGCCAAGGCACAGGGATGGACTGCAGGGGACGGAGCAGCCCGTTCTTTCCTGGGTGCATTCCTGGCGTTCAGGGCCAAGTAAGAGCGCATGTCATGGACCATCTGTCCCCAGTAACCAGTTGTCACCACAGGTAAACCAAGACTATAATCACAACAGCAAGGACAGGATTGTGTTGTTTTTCCTTTTTTTTTTTTTCTTTCTTTCTTAAAGGAGTGAGGGCATGGAAAATACAGCACACCAATGAAACAAAATGCCAAAAAAAAAAAAAAATACAAAAAAATACAAAATAGAAAAATGTATTTACAGGTAGTACATTACTATGATCAGAAAGCACAAAGACGCCTGCTGCTATAATACATGCATTGGTTCAGGAAGAAACTACTAAAACTTGGCAAGGGAGAAGCCTATAAAAAGAAAAGGGCCGAAAAGTTTTAACTTCTCATCCCTAATTTACTACACTGATCAAACCAAGTAAGAGCCCCCTAAATCCCACGAGTCTGTCGGTCCGAACGCTATACTGGTTTGTAGCTGCAGGGTCAGTTGTGAGGGAGGAGATGGCAGCTGATACAAGGAGGCCACAGTGAACTGCTCTACATGCTCAAAATACAGCAAGCCCCTGACTGCTACACAGCATGATCTTAGCAGGTTTTAATTTGTTTATTCATATAATCTATGCACGCGAATGTGTCTGTGTGTGTGTATGTATATATATATATGTACGTATGTATAAAAACCGTGCCCTTGTTCACTGCCAACATGATGTCTGGGTGGACATGAACCCATTACAACACATTCTTATGCGTATGTTGTAAGAAGTCACTCAAGGTCTGTGGATTTAATAAGTCACTTCACACCACAGAAAATATTTAATAAATCCAAAAAAAGGAAAGAATATTATGACAGAAGAACTTCTGTCTCAGTTCTCTGAAACTGAGTCCCCCAAAGGAAACTGGTCCCAAAGTTCTGGAGGGTTCGCTGAAACAATTTCGGTCTGCTAATTGTTTTTTCATCCTTTTAGTGTTCAAAAGTTCTAAAACGACTCCTTGCCGTTTGCAGTTTTTAAACAGTCAAGTCTCCAACTCCGCGCAAGGTAACAGTCTGGTGCAGATCCATAAAAATGGGAGGAAGCAGTGTTGGGAGGGTCCTCTCCTCTGGGAAGGGCAGGAAGAGAAGGACCCAGCTGGGGCAGCACCCTCTTCGGCCAACGGGCTCCCTTTAGAGGCAAACTCCAGTCACACGTCAGTTCCTTACACAGGCACGCCTCTGAGTACCAGGCCGGCGCTAAGAGGAAACAAAACCACGTGGTGAGGGAGAAGACGACGACGGCCATTCTGGTCACTTCTCACTTGACCCATCATACTTCCAGGAATCGAGAGCTGCTGGACTTGGAGTGGAATGGCTCAGACCACATCCGCCGTAGGTCACCCTGGGAAAGTAGAGAGTTTCCTGAGTTACTGATTTACACGTGAGGCACACAGAGGCTCAAAGCCTTTCTGATTCTGGATCGCAGCTCAGAGTGCTTCTGCGGAGAACCAAAAAGCATTCTGATTTTGCTCAGTGAAAAGTAATCCATGATTTCAGAAGAGAAGCTCCTGAACCCTTTGAGCAAAGAAGGGCTTTTAGAAACCGTTCAAATTCTACCCTGAAGTAAGTTCTAATTTGTGAGTTAACAGTCTGGACAATTACTGAAACTCAGTCTTTTTTTTCCCATCTGTAAAATGAGAAAACACAAATCTGATAAACAAGATAATGTTTTTCTTTTTCCTTTTTTTTTTTCTGAAAGAGAGTCTCTTCTACATATTCCAGGCTGGCCTTGAACTTGTGATCATCCTGCTTCAGTCTCTCCACCTCCTGAGTGTTGGGATTACAGGCACACGCCACCATACCTGGCTCAATATGCGCTCTCTAAATCTAGTTTTTTTGTTTTTGTTCTTGTTTTTTCTTCAGAGAATTTCTTGCTATGTAGCGCAGGCTGGCCCTGAACTCAGGATCCGTCCTCCTGTCACAGCCTCCCGAGTGCTGAGATCACAAACCTGTGGTACCATGCCTACCTTTTGGATCTGGTTTTTATTATATACTACCTTGACATTATTAATTTAACCAAAAGACTTTTGTTTTGGTGCTGGATGGAGCCCTCAGCCCTCGGGTACTGCTTTAAAAGAAGCAGGACATTTCCACAGCTAGGCTCTTGAGGTTTCAGTTAAGTACTCTGTGACCAAGTGGTATAGAAAATCATAAGCATTTTCTGTCAGTGGCTCTGAGAATCTGAGGACATTTGCTTAATGCCAAACCAACACATAAAACAGTCCAGATCAAGAGCTAAGAGGCTCTTGATTAGGGGCTTAAATAGAACCACCTCCAGCGAGGAAAGTACACACCAGACCCAAGGTCAATGTCAGGTTACTGTTTCTGCAGACCTGTAAGTGTTTCTCTCACCTTTAAATAGGCCATGGTGAGGAGTGGCAATAAGGTAAACGGCACCAAGTAGAGGAGGGCAGGCTGCGCGGCTCGGTGGATGCGCGATGCCACGGTAGCAGTGAGGAGACCTAGGAGGGCAGACATTGGTGAGTGACTCTCAGCGGCCAGCCTGAGAGAGGAGAGTTTCTTTGTCACCTGACTGCCACCTGGCAAAATCTTGAGGTTTTATAGACTGGTTGTGACACAGTCCAGTCCATGGTGAGAGTGTAAAATGCCCTGCTCGTGCACTAGCACAACTCCAAGGCCCTGTGACTGGTCCAAGTCCCACACTCTCCTTTCTACCCTGAATGTGCCTGGTCTCTGTCTCCTGTGGAACGTGATGCCGGGCTTGGAGGCAAAAGACCTGGTTGAGGTTTCAACTCTGCTCCTTATAACAGGCATGTAATCCTGAGTGTGGCATTTCACCTTCCTGAACTCTCTCTGCCCAATGGAGATGGCACCGTCTGCCTTCCTCCTCCTCAGGGACTCTTTAACTGCAATGAACCCACGTGTACGTAATGCCATGGGTGAGCACAGTGCTAATGTTCGGCAGGAGGCACAGAGGTGCGAGGTACTCTTTTCCATTCACTCTGTGGTAGCAGCCGCACGTGGTGGGTTATTGCTCTTCCTAGCCTAATCACAACTTTCTCTTCCTGTTTGCCTGTAGTTCAGTTGACTGAGAAAAAACTAGCCGAGGTCAGAGGTGACAGAAATGTGAGAACTAATGAAGGCCAACGCCTGTTTATTACAGCAGGAAATAAACAAGACATTCACTAAGCTCTATGGGAGATTTACACAGTCTAATCCACAGGCATGTGTGGTATGTGTCTGGCTCTGAGGATAAGCCACATTCTTCCTTATGCTCCTCAGATGTCCTGGTAGACAGCGAAGGGGTACCCAGCACAGAGAGCACGAAACACCTCACAGGCCAGGAGGGGTCCTTTTTGGTTGTCTAAACAATAACAGAGTTACTGCGTTCCTGGCCAGCATCTGTAGCTAGATCTGATTTAATTCCACAGATTCGAGAACACCCCATGAAGGGACTGGCTGCACTCACAGTCCTCTCTTACCTACAAAGTATCCAATGAGGGTGCAGTGGAAGTAGGAGACCTTTTGCATGCGCCCAGAGATGTTGGCGGGTCCAGAAGCCCCGCAGGAGTCACCACTGGCTTGTTTTTTGTAGTTGTCATAGCGAAGGACAAAGCACAACAGAAGACCGGGCATCACAATGTCTCCAATGCCCAACATAGAGAAGTGGCTGCCGGTGGAGCTGAAATGCAGAATAGTAGGTTAGGGATGCTGCAGGCTACGAGTCAATTTCTTCTTCTTTGGCGCAAAGTCTATCAGCTTTTTCAGAAGTCAAAAACCCTAAGTGAGATCAAAGGTAACTTGTATTCATCTCATGATGTTGCAATAAATTTAGGATTAAAATACTTATAGAAGTTATTCCTTTCCTGAAGTATGTATTTTTTGGGTGGATTCTGTGTATGTTACATGTTAATTTAAAAAAAAAAAAACTTATCTGAATGGCAGGCAGGAATCTCTACTGGCTGGATGCTAGTTTTTAAGTGAAGAGATTAAAAGCCCTGTGAGCACTAAGGGTTCCAGCCTAGCTGTTCATTGTCCCAGGAGAGCATCATGTCGGTGATAGCTCAGGTGATGTGAGTACTGCATCTTCTAGAAATCTCAGGCAATTCTTTTTGTGACATAGGTACTGTTGAGATCACAAACAGGAAGTATGTAATTTTACCATTAGAACATACTTTTTACAACTGCTGCAGAAGTGAAAAGAATCGAGACTCTCCTGATTGCAGCCAACTTTAAAAGTAGTAATGGCGGTAAATTATGGCTATTCAATTAACATTAACCAGTAATAAAGAACAGCACTTGTATCACTTAACGACACTATTCTCATCCTTACTGCATTTGTACAATGGCGATGATGGCTCACGGTCTTTTTCAGTTAAGGTTCAGAATGCTTATAGCAAAAGACGATCAAGGCAGAGAACAGATGTACACAGGAAGGTGGAGTGTTCAGCACTATGGCATGAGGCCCAATACGCCACGCCTACCTTGGGAAGACCAATTTTCCAGGCAGAGACAGGCGAGGAACATCACGCCCAACATTAGGCCCCAGGTGGAGCTTCCGGGATAGAACGTCAAGGGGATTGTCAGCTGGTTGTGTAGCCACCTTCACCATAACATTGCTGTTAAAGATGTAGGCTGAGAAAAATACCTGCCGAGGTAGAGAGATGCCTTTAACAGAGGGAAGTGCAAGCAACCCACATCCAGCCATCAGCTCTCTTTGTTCTGAACAGCAGAGTTTAGAGTACTATGGCGTTCCTGCTTGCTTTTGAGGAAAAAAACCTCTGTGGTTTGTGTGTGCGTGCAGGTTTCTGAGTATCTCAGAGCTAGCCCCAGAGACTCCCTTACAGTGGGACCCAGGAGCTTGGTGCAAGGCATGTCATCTGTCTGCTGCCTCTTCCACTCTTGGGAGTCACACATAGGCCCCCTACTGCATCACAGTTCCACCAACAGAAGATGCAGACAGTGCCTGCACATTGTGAACACAGACAGCTCAGGACCAGGACCTGAGTAGGTGGTCAGGCAACAGGCTCTGGATACTCAAGAGTGGGCAGTTATGAGCAGTCAGTGCTCCAAAAAGGCACACAGAGGAGGAGGGTCTGGGTATACCTCTCAGGGCTCTAACTTTTATATGTACACAAAACTGCAAACTTACCCAAAAGACATCGTAGATTAGTAGCCCTGAGAGAAGCAGGCAGGAGACCTTGAGGCTCGGCAGGCGGACGAAGGCGATCATGGCAACACAGAGACCCATGGCCAGAGCTAGGGAAGACACAACACAGACAGCAGTGTGTGGATGATGGGACAAAACTGTCCTCTTTCTACAGGATCTTCAGCTCATCAATCCAACAGAATGCACAACCCTCTCAAAAAGAAGGAGTCACAGACTTCAGGCTCAGACACTTGTGCCCACTGGTGCAAAGCGCTCATTTGAGCCCATCTGGACTTGCTAGGATTTGTGTGCCAAGTTGTCAGAGACCTGGATCATGCTGTCTTAGGCCTGGCTTGTCTGAGACTGTGCTCTTGTTTCCTGCCACCCTCCACTGCTGCGGAGGCACGATCCTTGCTTTAAAGCAGCTTGCACCCTAGAGTGACTGTATCCTCTTCTTCACTCAGTGACACTACTTCCATCACCTCACTTCCTTCTCTACTACAGTTTTCCCTACCAATTTAGAAACATGCAATACATCAGCCTTAAAACATACACATACCCAACACTTGTCCTAAAAATCCCCTCTCTAGCTACTTCCCCTTTCTCTGGTCCCTTTAAACCAAGGTCTTTTAAAAAGTTGTAGATATAAGCTCTCTTCAATTCTTTTATTCCTAGTTTGTTTAAGGTCTTAATACTTATCACGAATACAGTAACTGCATTATAGAAAACTAGAAAATACAGTTAAGACCGTTGTTAAACACCCTCCCAAAATTTTTTACAGTTTGCCTAGGCTGGCCTCAATTTGGGATTCTCCTACCTCAGCCTCCTAGAGAGCTGGATTAAAGGTGTGCACCACCAAACACAGTTACACATTTGTTTATATAAAGAAAATAATCATTTCTCAGTATGGAGACTGGGAAGCCCAAGAGCATGGTGTTGGTATCTGGAAAAACACCGCATTATAACATAGTGGATAGTATCATGGCAAAAGTCGTAAGTACTTTAAAAGTATGAGATCATACAACCTGCTTTTTTATCTCTAGTTTCCATTTTGGTGAATTTTCATCTCATTTAATCAAATTTCTCTAACAGACCCTAGAATGTTTATTTAGGGTTTGTCTAAGAAAGTAGCAACCAATCCAGGACCAATGTACGTATCTTCTATCTTTCTGTGTCTACGGCAGTCCTTTCTCGACGGCTTGTTGAGACTCGGCACCTCTGTGCTACAGAACGCGTTACCTTCCCGATTTCTCGGTGCTTCCCTGTTGTGGTTGCCGCCTTTCCCTCTATCCCATGGACTTCTGCAGTGCAGACGGTATTATCTGAAGACCAGATCACTTCCAGCTGCTCCTTCTCACACTCCTTCCACAAAGGCTTCATCTCTGTGAGTCACTTCATGGACATCATTCCTCAGGGCTGCCAAGGATCCTCCCAGGGCTAAACAGTGATGAACCTCTGCCTTTTATCAATTCTCACATTTGGTCTGGATTTGCCCCTAGACCTTAGCCTGATCTTCTTAAACTCCAAGTCAGGTTTACTGGTCTGCTCAAAACCTTTAAACAACCTCCCATTCCATACACAGGATGGTCAGTCTTCATGCTGGATGGCAAGGTCCCACGGCAGTTACCTTTTCCCACCCTCAGCTGCAGCTTCCCGTGGACAGGTCACACTGACCCCCTGTGCTTCCTCCAACCTGCCCCACTGCATGCTTCTGACTTGCTGTGCCCTCTACTTGAATGAACTTAGCACAAAATCCACCTGGTTCACTCTCTTGTCTTTCTTAGATCTTTACTCAAGGGTTAACTTCTCAGTGCCAAAGACACTTTCCTGCAAGTTATACAGTCACACCTTGGTTAACGAACTTAATTTGTTTTACGATTTGGGGGAAGATGGCTGCATTTGTGTTCATGTGGGGAGATGGACACGGTCATGTGTGTTATCCAATGTGGAATTTGTGAACAGAAGCAAAATTTTGCCAACCACTTTTATATGTGCACGAAACTGGAAACAGAAGTGTTCATGAATCTTGAAGTATTACTATATTTGAATTTGTACTTCCTTTCTATATAGCATTTGCCTTTTTTTCTTACACCTCTACAACATTTGAAATTAAAGATGCTGATTTTTTTCTTGATTCTCTATTTCTTCCTCTCCAGTGGAAGCACCTTGAGGGCACAGTATTCCTTGTCCCTGGAACCTAGACCAGGGGTTAGTGGATGAAGAGCTTGTTTCTGCCTTCAGCTCTATTTTTTTTTTGTTAGTACTGGGATTCAACCCAGTGTATCTCTCCAATCTTTTTGAGACAAGGTCTTGCTAAATTGTCCAAGCTAGCATTGAACTTGGAATCCTTTGGCCTCAGTCTCCCAGGTAGCTGGGATTACAGGCATGCACCACCATGCTCCGCTCAGAACCCACGTCTTATTCTTTCTGTGGCTTCCCAGCACTCGACAGACATTCAATAAAATACTTGCTGAAAATAGTGGAAAATCATGTTCTATTAACTTCAAATTCCAAACTGTCTTAAGAAAAGCAAGAAACCCAAGAAGAACCAAATGTCAGTATTTTATTTTAATAGACTGGTAACCTGTCAACATATGTAACAAAATGGATAAATGTAGTAGCTTGGCAGGCTATGGACTCATCAACTCAATGAATTCCTACTCACCAACTCAAAGAGTTCCTACTGTGTGTGTGTCTGGTGTTGCATAAACAAGAAGAGAAAAAGCATTTTCATCCCTACAATAAAGAAAAGTTGAAAAGACAGGAGTAAAACTAGGGAGAATCAGAACTATATATTCTCTCTTTTAACTTTACAATATTCCAGGGTGCTCATTATACTTGGTTCTCTTTTTTTTTGAGGCAAGGACTCTTGGCCTTAAACTCTCAATCCTCTAGCCTCAGCTTCCTGAAGTGCTAGGATTACAGGTAAGTGCCACCACACCCACCTGCTTCCACCTTTAATTTTTTACCGATTTATAAAAATAGAACTGGTCAAATGTACACAGATTGATGTCATTTGAAATATACAAAGCTGCAAAGGGATGATTGAAGCACAATGTTTAGGCACTGAGAGGTATACCCAGAACTTATTTGCTTAGGAATAGGATCTTCCAAAATCATCTCAGGAAACAAATGTCATAAGTCAGTATGGAGGACATTACTGTGGATAAACTCAGATGGCTGAGGATCAACAGTTATTGGATAGAGTTTGGATCTTGAATGTCTCCAAAAGGCCATGTGTTACAGGCTTAATCCCCAGTCTATGGCACTACGGGGAGGCAGCAGAACCTCGCAGTAAGTCTTCAGGTCACTGGGGGTATGCGTTCAAGGGGACAGCAGGACCCCAGGCCCTTCTTTTTTCCTTTCTTACTTCCTTACTGTGCTGTGGGCAGTTTTACTCTACTATGTGCCCTTGCTACAGTGTGCTGGTACAGACCCAACTGATCATGGACTAGACTCTCCAAAACCATGAGGCAAAATAAACTTTGTATTTGTTATAGTGATGGAAAGCTGACTAATAGAACTGGTTACTAGCAGGTGAAAAGGCCCTGGGATAGAGGCTGGGAAGCAGTGATCAGAGAACACATGAACATGTATGTGTATCCCACCTGGCTGGGGAGATCTGTTCATGGGCTTAAAAGTGAATGCTTTTAACCTTGCATACAATGCTTCAAAGTATCAAGGCAACAAAGGAGAAACAGGCCCAAGAAGGAAAGATGAGATTCAGGAATGTGTGTGAAGTGCGGGTCAGGGGACTGACTGATACATTGTGCAAAATAACCAGAAGAGGGGCACGGAAACAGACTAGGTGGAGAAGCAAGGGTTACACTTACGTGCCTCTGGCACAGGTATGGCTTGCCTGTTCTGAACTATCAGTGTACCCAGAATTACTCCACCCACTTGCTGCTCTGTCACTCACCTTATGCTAGTTCTACCCCATCAGGGTCTAACCTGAAGATGAAAGATTCAGAACTGCTCAATGGTAGGATTTTTTCCATGGCTCCAGACAATATCATTCTAGCCTAATCTGAAGATTTAGGTTTCAGTTTCAATTTATTAGTCTTCTACCTTATCCATATAATTTGTAGCCATTTTGTTACCTTTCACCATTACTGCAGACTTCAGCCATACCTTCCCCTACTTCCTGCTCTGACCTGTGTACTTTCCCTCTTCTTGCCCCTCCTTTCTTTCCCACTTACTCTTCACTGCCACTGTCAAAGTCTGCTCAAATCACTTCTTGCCTTAGGATCATGAGGTTTCTACCCTGTGAGGATCAGGTCTCATTTTCAAGTTGCACAACTTACACAGGATGGAGCTGCAGACACGGTGCCTCCCGTAGATACACTACTCTCCTCTTTCCAGTCACAGAGTCTTCCCACTGTATTCTAAGCTCTGTGTCTGAAGAGGCAGAAAGTAGCATGTTTGACTAGCTCAGAGAAAGTTCTTAACCTTGCATCTTCCTCAGGACTTTTCCAGAGTAGTAACTTCTCTATTTCTGGTTGCCTGAGAAACTCCAAGACTTCCCTTGATAGTTTTGCCAACAAATTTAACTTTTCATTGCATGTGTATTAACCAAAAGTGGTAGGGAGTAACTATTAATCTTAGCTAGTTAGCTGTGATTTATCTATTTATTTTGGGGCATTTTTTGGAGTCAGGGTCTCACTATGGCCTTGAACTCACTTATGCAGTCCAGGTTGGCCTCAAACTTGTAGTAATCCTGTCTTCAGCCTCCCAAGTGGTGGAATTAAAGGTGTGCACCACCATACCCAGTATTTTAAATTTATTATTGCTATCTGTCTCACCCAGTCCTCCATAACCAGCAGGGCTTGGGGACAAGACAATTGTCCTGGACAATTTATATCCAAATTGACATAAAAATATTTTCTCTAAGAAGAAATATGCAACTTGTGGGGGCTTAAACAGTGTTCACATTCTATGATGAAGGGTCCTGAGATATCTCTGCTCTATAAGCACCATAGTCTAGCATTTTAAAATAAGAAAAAAAAAAAAAAATCAATTGCTAATATATCTGGCACTAAGCCTCTTAATGAGAAGGCAGTACAACAGTGAGAGGCTGGACTAGACCTGTGTCTGGACTGCTAGTCCCTGA